AGACAATCAATTCCCCGATGGATCACCAAAAAGAGAAAAATCATCCTCAGTGAGCCTACTGCAAAACAAAACTTCAGATTCATCCTCAGAATGTCATTTGCCTACGCATAGGCAAGAACTGGCAAGCAAGAGCCAACATCCCCATATCAGCCTAGTCAGAGGCAAAACAAATGAAACCAAAAGTCTTCACTTCCGATGAAGCATCTGCCTACTCAGAGGCATTACCAGAAACTCAATGGAGTATCTGCCTGCTCAGAGGCACCATTAAAATCAGCAAAATTTTCAAGAGGATTCCTGCCTACATAAGAGGCACTCATAAAAAAAAATCCCCGACAACCAGCAAAGTCGGATGACAAATACCAAAAGATCAAGACAAAGAATCCCCAGCAACCAACAAGCTGGATGAACACCAACAGAATCTCTGCCACAGACCAGACGACCAAATCTCAGAAAGGACAAAGACAAGAGAACACATCCTAACACCGGCGCATGAGCAATTGAGCAGTCCTACGCAGTGGACTGTACCAGCCTGATAGGGGGTTTATACCTATCAACCAGCACATAAGGAGTGCCTAACCGGCGCATGAGCCACCTGAACAGTAAGACGCCACTACCACCAGTCCTATAAGACGGGCTGTACCAGCCTGATGGGGGGTTCATACCCATCCAGTTCAACACACAACGGACTGCAACTACCAGCCTGATGGGGGGGTTTATACCCATCAACCGAAGGATCGGCTACCGTCAGAAGGAGTATCCTGAGGTTCTACTACGTGTCAACCAAAGGGATCGGCTACCGTCAGAAGGAGTATCCTGGAAGTGCACGAACACAAGTTTTCCCCAGAAGATCAACCGCCACAAGACGGAACATCTGAAGGGTAACCGGGCAAGATGGTCAACTCCTTTACCTTCCAGTCGTTCTTCTTGGCATAATAGGCCAACAGCCGACTGGTCAGTAAAGGAGGGGGCAGCTGTAGACCCCTAATCTTGCCCGGCTTCATAATAAAGACCAGAAGACCTCCTTTCCAAAGATGGACGAAGCCTAAGAAGCCACTAGGAGAGACTATTAGGCCCCATACTAGGATAGGAGAGATTTTTGGTCCAAAAATAAGGATTTTCGCCTTTTAAGGTCGAGACCGCCGTCTCGTTTGTCGAGACCGGCGTCTCGACATTCCTGCAAGGCGAGACCGCAGTCTCGACTGGCGAGACCGCAGTCTCGACTGGCGAGACCGCAGTCTCGACTGGCGAGACCGCCGTCTCGACCATGTCAGACGAGACGGTCCGTCTCGACCTAACATGCGCGAATCCCTATAAATAGGGCCTCCATTCCCCTCATTTCACACACCTTTCTCATTCTCTCTCTAGTCACATCACTAGTTCTTCTCTCTAGAATCCCTCCGATGCATTTCCGGAGCTTCTGAGTGTCTTTAGAGGTTTTTATAGCGTTTTTGAGAGGTTACAGCGCTGTATAAGAGTGGAGGGTTGCCAAAAAGCACCCTAATTTCCAAAAGTTAATAGAAAAGCTTGCTTCAGAGGTTTCTACTTTCTCTCTCTCTCTCTCTCTCTACTTTTACTGCTTTAATTTCAATTATGCAATAAAGATTAGGGCCATGTAGTCGTAACTTTAAATTTCGCAAAATAAAGGGTAAAAACGTATTTTTTGGTTTATTTATCCAAAGTAGCTAGCCTATCATAGGGAACCCGAAAGGGGCGTCGTAAAGGAACTAACACTTCCTTTACACGTAACTAACTCCCTTACCCAACTCTGGTTCTAATGACCAAAGTTGCTTTTTCGAAAACCAACGCCTTTTAAATCCTTTTCCGATGTTTCCGGTAAAAACGTCGGTGGCGACTCCACAGAACCCTTCAAAACTAGCTCTTGGATTAGCCCGGTTATCGGACAATCCAAGAGTGCCCTTTCGAAAACCTCGCCCCTAGGTTCAGCCCGGTTATCGGACAACCTAAAGGCGTTGTAACCACCAATAAAAACGCGAAAAATGGAAAGTCAAAAAAACCATCGCGTCGCTCCGACCGCCCTCATTTTGACGGCGGCGACATTGGGATATAAAATGATCTCCCAAACAATTGGTCAAATAATTGATGCTGATTCGTCAACACCAATCTCCACAATCATAGCCCACATCCAATTAACAACGGGTTACACTATAACATACAGGAAGGCCTGGTTGGCCAAACAAAAGGCAGTGGAGATCATCTACGGCAATTGGGAGGATTCGTATAAGAAGTTGTCTTATTTGTTACAAGCCATGCAACAATTTTTTCCCGGATTCATCTACAAACTGCAGTCACAACCAGCTTACCAAGGTGAAGTCCTTCAACAAAATTCAAATATTTTAAAACGTGTGTTTTGGTCGTTTAGGTCATGCATAGATGGATTTGTTCACTGCAAGTCCATTGTTCAAGTGGACGAAACTTTTTTGTACGGAAAATATAGAGGTACCTTGTTGGTTGCAGTAGCACAAGATGGTCGCAACAACATCCTCCCCATTGCGTTTGCAGTGGTTGAAGGTGAAACAAGTGATGCCTGATTTTTTTTCTTAAAAGACCTTCAAAGATATGTCACAACCCAGCAATGATTATGCCTCATATCAGACCGACATGAATCCATTAGAAGTGCATACATGAGAAATGGAAGCGGATGGACAGAAAATAATTCAATGCATGTCTCATCGCATTAGACACATTGCACGAGAATTTTATGAGACGTTTCAAAAACACCGCACCGAGGAAAGATGTTGTAAATATGGGTAATTCCTTTGCTTCAAATTTGTTACAATTTATTCATTATTTAATTGTTGCTAATAAATATTTATATTAACTATGTTTTTTTAATATTGTTGTAGCGTATGGGATGACTGAACCAGGATTCTACTATTATTACAACATCTTGAGGCAATGTGACATAAAAGCAGCTAATTGGTTGGATGAGATACCTAGAGAAAAATGGACACTTGCATGGGACAATGGACGACGTTGGGGCCACATGACGACCAACATAGCAGAGTCTATCAACTCTGTTTTGAAAAAACACAAGAAATTTACCTATTTGCTCCATGGTCAACGCAACGTACACCCGCTGCAACAAATTTTTCATTGAAAGAGGGAGACAGATAGATGCCATGATCAATGCTGGTTATGTATACTCTGAAATTTTGGTCACAAATTTAGAGGATGCACAAACATAGGCAAACACGCATAGGGTCATAACTTTTGACAGGTCTACCACAAAATTTGTAGTAGAAGAAACACAAAATCCGCGTGAAGTTCGACCAGCAGGGAAGTTTGCAGTTCACCTTGATGAGTTATGGTGTGACTGTGGGAAATTCCAAAAATTTCACATGCCTTGTTCACATGTTCTTGCTGCATGCAAGCATGCACACCATGACTTCAACAACTATATTAATTCAGCGTATACCTTACAACAAGTTTCAAAGGTATACGGAACACAATTTGGGTTATTGCGAAATGAAGAATATTGGCCAACATACACAGGACCTACTTTGTGTGCAAATCCAGAAATGAAAAGAACTTCAAAGGGCCGACCAAAATCAAGTCGCATAAGAACTGAGATGGACATTAAATAAAATCAAAGTAGGATTAAAAAATGTTCATATTGTCATACCCCTGGTCATAGCAGAAGAACATGTCCCAATATTGCACGTGCATCTAATTCGCATCATTAGATTGTGTTAGTTAAGAAATGTCTCAATGTATGAAACTTAGGAGTTTTTCAATTAATTGAAAGTGATGAAGATCTTATTGAATCATTTGATAAAACGAAGATCTTGTGGGTTTGATGAAGTCAAAGGTTATTTAAGGAACTTTTTGCTAACTGTTTTAATCGATTAAAACTTGTTGTTATCAGTTAAAATAACTTAGAAAGTTTTGTGAAAAGTTTTGAAGAAACTCATTCTGCAGGAGCTGCATAATCTGGGTTTGATTGTTCTAGTTTCTTTTCTTTGTTTCTTTACATATTATGGGTATCTGAAAGCTTGAGCGAGAATTGACCACAAGCTAAACATTCAACGCAGTTAACCACATAATGCAACTTGGGTCACCACATATTTCAATCACTTCTCGCTCAAGCGAAAGTACCCGTCGCTTGAGCGAGAATTGACCCGAGATTACCCATTTGTTATAGGTCTCCTCGTTTAAGCGAAGTTTCTTCGCTTGAGCGAGAGAGAAATAATCGATCATAATTTTGTATATTCGATTATTTTAAAATTATGATCGATTAGTTCAAATTATAATCGATTATAAATTTATTCGCTCAAGCGATGGATGTCTCGCTTGAGCGAGAATTGACCACGGTCCAACGCAGTTACCCAATCAATTCTCGCTCGAGCAAAGTAACTCATTGCTTGAGCAAGAATTGACCACAGGCTAAACGTACAACGCAATTAGCCACATAACGCAACTTGGGTCACCACATATTTTAATCACTTCTCGCTCAAGCAAAAATACCCCGCTTGAGCGAGAATTGACCGGAGATTACCCTTTTGTTACAGATTTCCTTGCTCAAGCGAAGAGTTTATTCGTTTGAGCGAGAATTGACCCGAAATTACCCCTTTCTTACAGATTTCCTCGCTCAAGCGAAGAGTTTCTTCGCTTGAGCGAAAGTTAATTGCGCGAAATAATCGATCATAATATAAAATAATCGATTATTTTAATACGTGAATAGTAAAAAGTACTAGTTGGGTAAATAATGTTCCTGATGTGTTATTTTAGAAGTAAATATAACAAAATCATCTAATTTTTTTAAAAATTATTAATGGACAGATTATTTATAAATATTTATTGATGTTAAGTAAGAAGCAAGTGGACAACGAAACACGGATTAAAATTTAAAAGGAAAATAACATTAACAATAACATGTTTTACAAAAATTCTATTCTGGTCCTTTCTTTCCTCGGCGTACTGAAAGTGGTTGTTGTCGTTGTTGTTGAGAAGCACACAGAAAAGAGAACTGAAGAGAAAAAATGGCGTCATCGCGTCCCCCACCGTCGAAATCAGTGGATCTGGACCTCACCATCGTGGCGGCGAAGCACCTCAAGAACGTCAACTGGAAGAACGGGGATCTGAAGCCCTACGTCGTTTTTTGGGTGGACCCCGAGCGCCGTCTGGCCACCAAATCCGACGACTCCGGCAACACCTCCCCTGTCTGGAACGAGCGCTTCGCCCTCCCACTCCCTCTCCCTCTCCACGAATCCTTCCTCACCCTCGAGATCTTCCACTCCAAACCCTCCGACACTCCCAAACCCCTCGTCGCCACCCTCCGCCTCCCCCTCAAGGACCTCCACGACCTCCACGACTCCACGCGCCTCCGAAAGTTCCCCCTCTCCCGCCCCTCCGGCCGCCCCCACGGCAAGATCCACCTCAAACTGGGCCTTCTTGGCCGCCCCCAATTCCAATCCCTCGATTACCTCAACCCCAACCACAACCCTAACCCCAACCCCAATCCCAATCCCAACCCTAGTCATAACCCTAATTTCGTCTTCTACAGGGGATATTCTCATTCCCATTCCCCTTCTCCACCACCCTCCCCATACCCTTCGTACACCTCTTACCCCGATTCATATAATTCTTCTTACTATCCCGGTTACTATTCTGGTGCCGCTCCTCCTCCTCCTCCTCCTCCTCCTCCGAGACCCTTCTTAGACCGTTACGCTGGGCCCAGTGGGCCTTCCGCTCCGCTTGATTATTCAACCTGCTACGACCCCAAGCCCAAGCCTCCCAAAATGGGCCTCGGCACTGGCCTCGCTGTTGGCGCTGTTGCTGGAGCTCTCGGTGGGCTTGCTCTAGAAGAGGGGCTCAAATACGAAGAGGACAAAATCGCGGAGAGGGTCGAGAACGACGTCGCTGCTAGTGCTGCGCGCGACGATTACAGCGATTATCGAGTGGATTACTGAACCATACAATTCCGACTGGCTTGTGTTATCTTGAGGTCCGAAAATTCATAAGCTATTTGGTTTCGGATTCGCTCTAATGCTATTTCAGTATATATTATAGATATATAGAATCATTATATCTCTATGTATATAGTTTGACTTGGTGTTGGATTGATGAATGCATCGGTGTTGTTTTACTTGCTGATTGTCGTGATTTGGCACTGTTCTTACGGCTTTTTATAGTTGAAGTGAAATAAAGCTGGTTTCGTCTTATCATGGCAACGATTTTCTTTCGTTTATATTCAGATTTTCGACGTATTTGTGTTAATTACAAATTTAGTGTTATGTGTAGCGGATAGGCTTGCAAAGTACAGTGTATATATTCTTGCATATTTTGTCAATGAAGAACCTAACAGAGCAATATGGCGTGATTTGCTTTCAAACGACTGTAAATTGGTTGATCTATAGTTTTCTTCTGTCCTTGAGGTGATCTTTATTTGACTAGGTGTGTCGAATTATGTCTTTGTTGGCCATGTATTTGATATTTTGATCATATCATCTATTTTACTAGCATTGACATCATCGGGGAAGGATATGCTCTTTTTTGAGGTTAAGATGAATGGTTTTTAACCCCAAGGTTACACGGGATGGCTTTTAATCGTGTCATGTCTCATTTCTGAAACTCAGTTTTGTTGCTTCCTTCTGGCCTTTTATACCGAAACTAATTCTTTGATCACCATCAAACTAGTCATGCATTTATAACAATATTTTTTATCAGGCAATTTATTTTAATACCGGCTAATTCTTTTTTAATGTCTTAAGCATAGGCTAAAGGCTCACTAGCTTAATGGATGGCATTAAGTTCCCACTCTTTTTTATTGTTTGACATGTACCCCAATGCTACAAAAGAACTTGAACACTATCAATATGCTCTTTGCTTCAAAGCTGATTTTTATGTTCTGTACCATTCATGCAGCTGTGGTTTCCAAAACATATGCAACACACTGTTGTGTCTTGTCCTATTTTGATAGATTAAAGAAGAAATGTATTATTTATAAATTACTCAGCCGAAAACTATTTGACATACTGTAATTTAAATGAATTGCACCTTGAAAACCCATCTTTTATAAGGCCTATGTTATTATTAAGTGATCTATATTTCATAAAATGCAAATAACTCATAACAAAGGCGAGTTCCATAGACCTAGGAGGGTGGAAAGTTAAGACTCCTAGATGGGTGGGTGTGAATATCAAACAGATTTCTCTTATGCCATATCCATGACACAACTAATTTGGAAAAGAACATTTTGAAGTGTGAGACTTAATAATTACTAGTCCAATCTAGAGATGTGGATCACCACGCCCTATCAAAACTTTCAACTACATGGGTTGGCTCACACCAGTAGCAAGCCAAAATTAAGCTAACCTAGCTGGGTCTCACCGTAATAATAATAAAAAAAGTATTACATTTAAATAAAAAAAGATTAAAAAAACAAATAAAAAGCATAAAACAGCTACAGAACAGAGAACACGAGGAGAGGATCCTTTGATTGAGCTTAAGAAAGGGGCAGTAATGAATAAAGTAATATAATTCAACTACATCCCAAATTTCCTATTTATTTCATCATAACTAACTAACCTTATAAAAGAGTGCCCATTCGTAGTGGACCTACATTACTAGGTAGCTACAGTGTCGTTAAATCGACAGCTTATTCATCTGATTAATAATACATCATTGTTCATGTTCACGTCTATTAATATCAGAAGTTACAAGTAGTATGAATTACATTTGAAAAACTAAGAATAAGTACCTTAACCTTGAATACCTACGCATCATAGATTTATAAGTAATGTGGTAATAACGCTGAATAAGAACTCAAAATGCAGGGTGGGTGAGCATGGATTAAATTTTTAAGAATTCAAGTCCAGTTAAATGAATTGGATTTAAATCCAAATTCATATTTTTTAAAAAAGGAAGTTTGGACTTTTTTGGAACCGTTTTCAAACACATTTAAGTTTCAGAGCCGGTTTCAAACTAAACTATTTTTTACAATAAAATTAGGTTTTTTTTAAGTCAATTTTTGAAAAAGAAAAAGAAAAAACTGATCTAAAAACAGTTATAAAAGTATTGATAGTCAGAATTCAGTAATTAAGAAGCTGATTCATCGAATGAAAATAGTAGAGACAGATTCTTTTAGATTCATTTATAAAAAAAATGGAAACCTCAACATAAATTTTACACGGCTCTAGTTAAGGCTTCAGAACAACATTACCAAAGATATTGTTTGACTCGACCCTCTGTTCTGGTGGTTGTGCATTATTCTGCTTAGTCTAGTGAGTTTCATTTGTGGTAAGTAACAATTTAAACAATTAGAAACTATGATATAATCGCAAGATTAATGCACCATATATAATTGCTACATGGTCTCTAAAATGGACAAAGGAATAAAAAATATTAACTGTTATTATACTTAGGAGAAATTGGACAAACATGATATTTCAAAATTTTAAAATCTAAAATTCTTGGATATGTTATAATAATATTGTTATGTTCAATTCCTATATATGATATATAGTCTATTTTAGAATTGTAATTTGTCACAGTTTTGTCTTTAAAAAACACTTTGGTAGGTTAAGAAAGAAGAATATATATGAATTATCTATTATCTCGATCCTTAAATAATATGAGACTCATGAGCGTACAAAAAAAAAAAGTAAATCTTCCAATCAAAGACTAAGAGATATGAGTGAAGCGAGACTTTGTCCTTGACTACTTGATGGGTACCAATTTTTAGTTTAAGAATAAAAGTATTTTGATCTCATATTCGTTATATGATTACACATGAAGGATCAAATCTATTTTTTTTTTATATTTAACTCTTGTTGGTAAAGAAACTTCAAAAGTTAAAATTAAAGCATTCTTTTAAATTTTGTATTATTTTTAATTATAATTATTAACTACATATTTCCAAATAATAATAATGTGTATGAATAACTTATTCTTTATCATAGCTTAACATTACTATGACTCCATCAACTATGATTGTAACTCAATGAAAATTGGATAGCTCTATTACATTCACTCATCAAGTGGAAGAGGGGAGAAGGGATCATATTTAGGCTCTTGTTGTTCCTTCAAAATGATCTTCACTTATCTGAATCATTGAGTGACCTGTAAAAGGATAATCCAAATAACATCACACTTATATTTTCATATGACTTATGTATTAAAAAAATAACTAAAATAATTGAAGTGAAATTCAATGGTTGTAATTCTTACTCGCGACACCCAAGTCAACCTTATGCTTGGCGAATCCAATTTTGAAACATTGTGCAAACCATTGTTATGAAACCTGTATTGCAGGAACCCACGTTGCACACCAGTCTTCTTCCAACTATTGCAGATTTTCCTCTTCTCATGACACTTCTTAAGTATTGGGGTGAGGTAGCTGCTAGTGGATTTTTTGGGCATGAGAGGTTAGGATTTTAGGCTCAATCTACACCTATAAATAAACTATTCCACACTCTTTCAAAGATACACCTCACTCATCTTCTCTTCTCTACTTTTCTTTCTGTTCTATTCTTATCCTGGATTTATTTAATCTTTTAAGAGTTTCTTGCTAATTTCTGAGTTCCTCGGAAAATCCAGGAAGTTCATATTGTATCTTGGGAGACTTGTGCAATATTCCACAGAATAAGTCCTTAAGAGCAGTAATTATACACACCTCAAAAATTAATGTCTTTGTCAGTTTTTACAATAATCTTAAGAACTTATGACTGACAATATGGATACCAACAACAACTCTACACACCGAAAAAGACAAACAATGTTTCCAGAACTCAAATTGTCTTTGCGAAACCTTTTTTGGACATTTCGAAAATTGAAGTTTTTACTAGGCAAAACTTCTGACGCTGGCAGTAACGCATTTCTACTCTCTTAGACATGTATGGAGTGACTTTTGCTCTTACAACTACCAAACCTGACTCTAGTACTCCTGCTAAACAAATTGAAGATTAGGTTCATTCGAACAAGGTATGTCGACACACTTTACTTAGTGCATTGTCTAATGATTTGTTCGATGCGTATTGTTCTTATAAAGAAGTCAAAGATATCTGGGATTCGTTGATTCTCAAATACATTGTTGAAGATGTCGTGAGACAAAGGTTCGTTATCGGAAACTACTACCGTTGGGAGATGCTAGAAGACAAGGACATCAAGATCTAGATCAACGAGTATCATAAGCTGCTTGAAGATATTAAAGCAAAAAAAATAGTCCTACCTTATGCGTTCGTTTTGGAACTTCTAATTGAAAATAACTGAAGCATAGGCATAAATAAAAGTCAGTGCCAGATCTGATCACGCACATTATCATCAAAGATACTAACTAGAAGGATTGTGCTGCTGCAAGGGCTAAGGCATTATCAGTTAAGACAAATATGTTAGAAGAACCAACTCCAAAAAGGTACCAGAAAAACCCATTTATAAGAAGAAAAATAATTTTAATTCTTGTCCCAATGGATCTAACCCCACCTTCAAGAAGAAGGGAAATTGCTTTGTCTGTGGAAAGTCAGGTCATCATGGACCTCAGTGCAGACGTAGAATAAGAAACGATAATCATGGTAAGACAAATTTATCCAAAGGAGAAGATACAATTGTTGTGGTCGTTTTCCAAATAAACCTTGTGACAAATGTGAGCAGATGGGTGGTAGAATTTGGTGCTATCAGACACATCTGTGCAAACAAAAGTATTTTTACCTCCTACACTATTATGAGGATGAAAAATAACATGTTTATCTCGGTGATTCCAGGATAACTTTTGTCTTAGGAAAATGAAAAATTCTTCTAAAGCTCACATCTAAACAAACTAAATTATGACCTTGAGTGATGTGTTACATGTGCCATCAATCAGAGTTAATCTAATCTCTGTAGGACTGTTGAGAAAGTTGAGGTTAAGGTGTCATTCGAATATGATAAGATTATTATGACAAAGAATAATGTGTTTGTGGGAAAGAGATATTGT